ACCTACATAAACTAAGCCAGTAATACATTCCTTGTATTCAACTTATTATCTTTTTTTTTTTTTATGCCTTTTTGTTCCCTTACTCTTTATGTGGTTATTTTTCTTTTACTAATATCTGATTTGTAACCCTTTTCATCCCCTCCGAGGGATGTTGTGTGTTAATAAATAAATAAATAAATAAGTTAACGACTGGCCCTCCCTGTGCGTGGACGCAATTGGGTCTAGCCGAAATGCAAATATGCTAGATAAGCCTAAATCAGCTTAAATCTTAGCCCGTACTTTGTGTAACGTGAACACGACTAATATGTGGTAAATATCATTTCACTAAAACATATTGACATGGATACTGTGACACTGAGTATATCATTGCTCTTGTCTAACGTGGACGTCTCACAGCAGGATCTGCTGTCTTTTGGTCGTTAAGCATCCGAACACGAGGGAAATTTCTGAAAGAAGCGTGCGACGACTCTGGTTAAGGAATCACGTTGTAAATAGGACTTTCTGTGAACTTTCAGCTCAAACAGTTCATCGAAAATGCAAATACGGATTCACGCAGTCCAGCCCAGTCCAGTCTAAACTAGTCTAGTCCAGTCCAGTCCAGTCCAGTTCAGTCCAGTCTAGTCTAGTCCAGTCCAGTCTAGTCTAGTCCAGTCCAGTTCCAAAGCACTAAAGTTATGATTTCCAAAGGGTGATAACACAATCATTTGAAACATGGAGGTAAATAACAGATATGACATGACGATTCAAAACGACCGATTGATTGATTGTTTTGTATTCGTTAATTTTTTGAAGTCTAATTATGTAAAATTTTACACACGATGCCTCAAAATATAAAACGTACCAGCAAATAACTCAGACGTCCCCAGAAAACTAAATTGTTTTATCGTGTAAATTGCAGGTGATTATCGAGGTGAACGAAGCTTGTAAATAATGACTGGAAACAATAATACCACTTGCTGTTGATATATCGTTATCTTCGTTGGGCCCGAAATACCCCGACCACATCAATATTAAATGAGCAGTTTCAAATTAAAAACAGGATTTTAAATGTCGTTGTTCGTTGTTCATGTCATTATATTTATGGTCTCAGTGTTTACTTGTATATATTCTGTAAATTTCAAAAGTGAAGATATCCAAAAGGTTTATTGTTCACGTGACTGAGCGAATAATTTGTATCGGTTATTAAATACGAGAAAAAAACAGCGCCCTCTCTGAAACAAAACCAATCACAGAAACATAGAGATGATTATTTTAGTACACATCAGAAAGTTCTTTTTATAGTTTGCCTAGATAACATAGCCATTTATATTTATAATAGGTCAACCCCGGAGGTCAACACACTCTCAGTTCGAGAATACCCATAATGCTTTGCATTATTTAACTTTTTCATTATGCTGATTATGCATTGATTGATTTTGTTATGATCGACATCGACGCATCGTTTGAATCGCACGGTTTCGCGAGCTCGATGTAAACGTATCTTTACTCCACAAGTGATGAGGCGATGACCGTATAAACGAACATAAGGTAGCGAAGATGCATCGACTTGAAGTCTCGTACCCATGCAAAACTCTCTTGATTATGAGTTGAGGGCGCCACAGCACAGCACAGTAAAGTTTAGTTCCAAGTCTTCCTCAATCAATAAAGTCTTGCAACCGGCAAACAGCGCCCAAGTTGCCAGATTACGCAAAAAATAAATAAATAATAATCACCACGATTTTATAGGATGAATCTTTGTATGAAAATAGATTTTATTGCATGAGAAATATAGGGACAAACACAAACACTGAGAAGAGAAATCATTGTTGTAGTGAATGTTACCAAGAACAAAAACATTACAAATAATCATGCCAAGATATCAAATCTTTCAAAGTTATTAAATAAGATTATTATACACTCAGGGAGAGTGTCTGCTCCCTAGCGGTATTATATATAATATATAAATTAATGAATGTTTTTTCTCTTTAAAAAAAGAAGACAGTATTAACAAGATGATATTTCAACCTGAAATATCTTGAATCCTAGAGGTTTCTATATCAAGAAGAGGTGGTGGTTCATTTTCCAAGCACGGGAGTGGTTTTTATTTTTTAAACAATGCATTGAAACTTTTAATAGACCTAATAATTTTGTCGCAGAGCCAACACTAGGCTAGAATGAATGTAATTTCACCGTTTCATGGTCAAGTTTTAGTTCTACTATGCATGAATACACAGCACTGGCGAGTGATGCCGAAAACGAAAAATACTGTAGTACCCAAGACCATACACCACGTCTTAATTTAAAATTACTTTTCGATGTTTTTTTTTGAATATTCAGAATTGTCAGTAAAACCAGGGGTTTCACTTTAGTATTGCAAATATGATTCAAGGAAAATACCTGATAACCAAGAGACTGATTAACATTTTAACTCTTTGAGCGCCAAGTTGAATTTTTTCAATAAAATAAAACCCACATCATTTTTTTCACATTTTTTCTAAAATTTTGATTAAGACCTATAGGTAATAATAAATTATGTCCATTTTGTCAAAAATTATCAAAAAAATTATAGAAAAATACATATAAACAGACAAAATGATGCACCCAAAGTTGGCAGGAACAAATTATGGCGCTTAAAGAGTTAATGATGTAATCAGGTAATTAGCTCAACACTCTTCAGCTGCATGTAATAAGGTAATATACGAGGCACCGTAACATAGCAACCAATAACCAAACAAAACATGCCATAGTTTTAGTAGGTAAAGCCATTTACAAAGCTATGATGTGGAAAGTTTTGTCAAAAAAACAGCAGTAACGGTAATATGTGCGTTCAATTAATGATTCCTAAAAATGAAATGTGTCACTCTCCGCATAATTTCCTATAAATCCTGAAAACCGAATATTTCTACGATTTTCATATAATATTTACTTTTGGTCAAGTTACAGGAACATTGAATAATCAGATTTTCAGCGATAATAAAGTGATTCCTAGCTAAGAAAACAAAATAACATTTTGAAAGTTATGCGATATGAAAGACAAAATTTGGCAGGAACGCACACACTCGTCTCCTTTTTTACAAATTATCAACAAGACAAAGCAATATAATTGATATTGCACTTATCTACGCCTAACGTACAAAAACATGAATGAAATAAACAGGGTACCACCTACATAACTACATTGGTTCAGCATATGTGCGTGTTCATTCAAACGCTTAGAAGTGTGATTTTCCCAGTGCAAGTACAGAATCTGTGGGTCACAACTCGATTCTGATCTAATGTTGCCATTCATGATCCGTGGGGGTGGGGGAATCAACCCTAGTAGTTTTCAGCATTTAGACAATCATCAGTACTTATTGGAATTCTCTACGAAAATTTAAGTTTGGTTAAAATTTGTTGTGGAATGCTTTTACTAGCCAAATATAAAAGTGAATACTGAGATTAGTGAGAGCTGTATTTATGATTCAACCTCAAACTGTGCTTTAAATTTCTTCAAATGCTGTCAATCATGGTTTGTCACACACAGCCCACATACCACCAAGATGTGTCAGTAGGCAAGTGCCAGTGTTTTAACACATTTGTCAGTAGACCTGTATTTGTGTGTTAACACAGATGTGTCAGTAGACCTGTATTAGTGTGTTAACACATTTGTCAGTAGACCTGTATTAGTGTGTTAACACATTTGTCAGTAGACCTGTATTTGTGTGTTAACACAGATGTGTCAGTAGACCTGTATTAGTGTGTTAACACAGATGTGTCAGTAGACCTGTATTAGTGTGTTAACACATTTGTCAGTAGACCTGTATTAGTGTGTTAACACAGATGTGTCAGTAGACCTGTATTAGTGTGTTAACACATTTGTCAGTAGACCTGTATTTGTGTGTTAACACAGATGTGTCAGTAGACCTGTATTAGTGTGTTAACACAGATGTGTCAGTAGACCTGTATTAGTGTGTTAACACAGATGTGTCAGTAGACCTGTATTAGTGTGTTAACACAGATGTGTCAGTCAACCTGTATCAGTGTGTTAACACATTTGTCAGTAGACCTGTATTAGTGTGTTAACACAGATGTGTCAGTAGACCTGTATCAGTGTGTTAACACAGATGTGTCAGTAGACCTGTATCAGTGTGTTAACACAGATGTATCAGTATACCTGTATCAGTGTGTTAACACATTTGTCAGTAGACCTGTATCAGTGTCCTAACGCAGATGTTAGACAGTGACAAAGATATGACACAAATAAACAATAATAATAAATATCAGCAACCGAAGTTCAAAATGGCTTGTTGGCAAAAACTTTGTGTGGTGCCAGTAAAAAATGTAGAAAGACATGTTCAAAATGGCCGTAGATCTATCGATGACCTTCTAGGGTATAGTGATTTTTGTTGTCAAAGAAAGACAATTCTCAAGTTTGAATACAAAAATTGAAAAAAAACAAAAACACAGTAACCAGGAAAACACAAACAAACAAAACTACAAATGCACGCATTAGGAAGTGTCAATATAAATTAGAATTTCTTTTCTGTACTTTTGTTTAGACAGGAACTTTGGCTCTTTTCAATGAGTGAAACGTGTACAAGTAATTTCAATATATACAAAATACATTGTCACACAAAGTTGCCTTTACATGATCTGTTATCTGTTTACATATTTTACAAAAAAAAAATCTCTGGCTAGAGACAAAAGTTTAAACACAAGCATGCTTTTTATCTGGATTAAGATCTGTTGAAAAAAAAAATTACAATTTCTCTATAAATTTTATACAGAAAATAAACGATTGTACATTTTCTAAGGCAGTTCTCTTCATTTGTTTCCTCATTAGCGGAGGGATATTTTGTAGGCAGGCAGTGATAGGTAGCCATATTTAACTTATTTATCAGCTGTTTCTTCTTTTTATCAGATGGACTGTACCATTTGTTACAAAGGGTAGACAGCATGTATTTCACAGCATGTGAGGAGGAGACACAAGTATAGCAAGAAAAAACATACAAGTAATCTACTATCAATCTAATATGCAGAAATACAGATTTTATATTTATTATGTCCTGTAAAGAAATATATTTATTTTTGCACACATAGCGGTTGATAATATTATAAATTCACCGTATTAATCCAAGTGGGCCTTCACCTGCATGAATTGTGGGTAACTTTACATGGAAGAGTTATAGAATTCATGGTACAGGTCCAACAACCCTCAGTAGTATGGTATACACACGTTTCAGGGCCAGCATGACTCGTGAGCAACACAACACCACTCCCCGTACAGATATCTGCGCCGATTCGCGGAGAAATTCGCGAAGTAACTTGGGTGTTACACAGCGTAACAATTCTCCCTGAGGTAGGATTGTGGGATTCCTCAGCAACGACTAGCTAGGACTAGGCTGATGTGTTGTGTTAGCGGCTGTCAGAGTGTAAGTCGGTAGCAATGTATTGTTCTGTGTAGGCAACGCATGGTCTCCACTGTTCTGTACATTGACTTGATTGTACACAAGCTGGTCAGGGTTACCGAGCGAAAGATTGAATTTACTAGCTTGGACAAAATTTGGATTTGGAGCGTATGGTGGCGGTCCCGTGAGTGGTATTGTCTGTCGATTTTGTGGGTTCATTATAATAGTAGCGGGATCTGCATTCTGTGAAAGCATCGTAAATGAATTCCACTGGGCTCTAGGATTGCAATTCAACATTGGATGGTTTAACATGTTTGATTCGTGATTTCTAATCATATTTGGCGCACCATGCGCTAATACCCTATGCTGTATAACCATATTAGTAGTATCATGCGTTCGTGGCACGATATTATCATGCGAAAGCGTCTGACCAATCATATTCGATGTATTGTGCTGCAGCTGCTGAGGCACATTGTGTGCTAACGTCCTTGGCACTTCAGATGAAAAGCGATTACCGTGGGGCGAAATTGGAGCCCCATGGGGAGACATTACTGACACATCATTGTTAAACTGTTGACTGTTTGTCATCATTGGATCTTGACTCATGTCTCGTAACCCGTGATTCAACATGTCATGTTTACCATTGTCCTGCGATTGTGACTTTTGCACTGACCCTTGACCTTCTGAAAATGACCCTTGACCCGGGTGGGGTTTCACAGTGTATGCGATACTCGACTCCATATCTAATGGCGTCATTGGTTCGGGTATCGGAACATGATTATGATGCTGGCTATTTTGATTGTCTGGTAATACTAAATTTGGCAACCCTTGGTTAGGCTGGGCATCTAAAGGATCCAGAGACACATGAGTCAATTGAGCTAATGACAATTTCACGTCTTCTGACGCTTCCTTCAATGCTCTCTCTAGCTCTTCTTCTTCCTCTTTAGTCGGTGCGAATTCACCATTTTTACCTAAAATAGAAAAATATGAATTAGAGTTTGTAAATTCAAATGTTGGTATGATGTGCGAAACTTCAATCCAAGGATTACAGATAACCTTATGTGAACTTTAATTCATCAAATGCCGGACTAGAATTTCCTACTCTTCTATTTTATCAATACGTTTTCTGATCATTATCGAACAAGCTCAGTCCATGTACATCGATAATTGAATGTTACACAGGCCTAACTTTTTTTATGATTTGTTTCCTGCCAGAAATGGTAGAACTATTTTTCTACAATTTATGTAATTGTGTGAACAAATGTATTTGAAAATGAGAAAATTTAAATGTTTTGACAAAACAGATTTCAAAATTAGATTGGGAAATAAGATTGGTTAAGGTTTATTACTGATTGTTGAGAAATATTGTCGTGGACACAAGTTGTCGTGGACACAAGATAATGTGTCAACAACAACAGGCATATTTTAAACTTTTTTTATTATCATTACGGCAAAGAAAATCAAAGAAAGCTTAGAAAGAACTCCCGTGTGCTGAGAGTATTGAAGACACATTAAAAATGAATTCAAAATTACTTGTACATGAGATATTGATGGAAAAGCTGAAAACTAATTATGTAAATCAGGTAACTAATATGAACAGAACAGAACAAAAAAATTATGAATTATCATGCTAATTAGAGAATTCATATTAATCAAAATTAATCAGGCCTGTCTATTGTCCTAGAGATTTATGTACCAAATTTTATTCAAATGTGATGATCAGTAATTGAGATATCAGTGTTAATTAATTATGTTAATTAGGTGATTAATAAGCATAAATATTTACCAAAAACTAATTGGGTTTCTGCATAGTTCTCTTTAAAAGTTTCATTAAAATCCAATTTGTGGTTCTTTATATATCAGTGGAACATTATGCAAATTAGGTAACTAATATCCAATTAAAACTAATCAGGTGTCTGCATAATCCTAGAAGATCTATGTAGCAAGTCTCATTGAAATATGATGATTATTACTTGAAATATCAAAAGCTGAAATTTAATTAATTATGCTAATTAGCTAATTAATATGTACTCATATTACCCTAAAAACTATCAGGTCTGTGCAGTGTCCTATGACATCTATGTAGCAAGTCTCATTGAAATATGATGATTACTACTTGATATATCAAAAGCTGAAAATTAATTAATTATGCAAATTAGGTAATTAATATGTACTCATATTACCCTAAAAACTATCAGGTCTGTGCAGTGTCCTATGACATCTATGTACCAAATTTCATTGAAATGTGATTACTACTTGAAATATAAAAAGCTGAAAATTAATTAATTATGCAAATTAGGTAATTAATATGTACTCATATTATCCTAAAAACTATCAGGTCTGTGCAGTGTCCTATGGCATCTATGTACCAAGTGTCATTGAAATGTGATGATTACTACTTGAAATATCCAAAGCTGAAAATTAATTAATTATGCTAATTAGGTAATTAATATGTACTCGTATTACCCTAAAAACTATCAGGTCTGTGCAGTGTCCTATGACATCTATGTACCAAGTGATTATCTGCGCATTAGTTTGGAGCATCTGTGTGCCAAGTTTCATCACAATCCAATAAGTGGTTCTTTAGATATCAGTGGAACAGTCATGGAACAGTTAAAAATCAGCTAATTATCATGCAAATTAGGTAATTAATATGCATGGATTTTTACCAAAACCTAATCAAATCTGCGCATTGGCCCAGAGCATCTATGCACCAAGTTTCATCAAAAACTGATGTATGGTTCTTGAGATATCAGTGGAACAGACGGACGAACGGACACACACCTTTTTGTGCTTCGCACACGGGAGTCAAAAAACAGTGTAGAAATTATGCAAATGAATGTTAACATATTCCACTGTAAACTGATATTGAGAGAGGCGAATTTTCATGAATTTTCCAAATTATGAGACTTCATAGCAGTGAAAAAATTTTCTGGATTACTCTGATAGAAAGTATCAGTGATTTTTGTCTTTATGAACGCATGAAATTATCAATTCGCTAAAATTCCGAGCAGTTTACAATATGCGAACATAAAATTATGTTGAACTCACCAGCAAATATCTCTATGTCATTTAGATCATCTGGTAATTTCGGCCAATCACTCAAATCATGACTATCCAGAAGCTGCTTATTTACAACACTCCGAAGCGCATCTCCAAGGCGATCGTCGCCGAGGTGATCATCACCCAGGTGATCATCGCCTAGGTGATCATCATCCAGGTGATCGTCACCTAGACTATCGTCGCCAAGGTGATTGTCTTCATCGATGTGAAGATCTGAAGTATCCAGCCCGTATCCTAGATTTTTGTCAATAACATCAGGTGAAAGGTCATTGCCAAGGTGATCAGTGATGTCATTTGTGTCGATACCCTCTGGAACTGGACTCAGTTGGGAAGTATCAATTCCTAAATTGAGAGTTATTGGCATCTCAGTGTTCCCTGAAGGTTCTGAAACAAAAGATACAGCACTCAAATAATCCATTGATATGTTTCTGTGCAACATTTTTTAAAATTGTTAGGTATTTTTCAATGTCTTTGCTAGTCCAAGTTTAGTGCTAAAAATTCATCAAAATCAAGTATTTTCTTTTGTCATTTTCCGGAAGCAGATCTCAGTCATGTATGAATGAATTCTGTTCAAAATTTATACATATATTAGACATTATTATACATCTGTCATCGTAACGCCATAGGTTACAGCGTGCCGTAATTTTGCGGTATTTTACGGGGTATTTTCATCCTACCATATTAGGAAATGCGAATTCCAAACATGGAATTATTATGCGCGTAAGCGTCCTCTAATAATAAAAACAAACATGGCTGCCACCAGAATTTAACCGGACTCCATACAAAGAAGTTCGCTGATTCTGTTCTAAACTTTTTAGATTTTGGCATTCCCATGATGTATCCTTGGTAGGAAAAGATGTATAATAATAAGGTTATTACGAAGATAC